GCCTGGGAGTGACCGCTGCAGGAAGAGGGAGGAGCGCCTCCTTTGTTTTAGGCCGGTGTTTACATTCCTCAAGAGCGGAAATTCAAAAAATGCACAGAAATAACTAAAACAAGTACTCATAGTGAAGCAGGTCAAGAAAGAGCCACAGTATATTATCTCAAAATGTTGAAAAGTAATAAAAAAAGCCATAGTATGTCACAACACATGTCCTTTAACACAGGGGGACGAAACTACATGTGCCTCGATGAAACCAGTCCGCTAGAACCAGACACAAAGTGACGACGGGAAACAGCTCAGAGGCCCCCTGGGGGCGGAGATTAAAGGAGACACTGAACAATACAGACCTGGCAGAACCCGACCTTCATGCAACACGTTTTCAGACATTTGAACACATTTTTAGGCCTTGGATAACAACATTTAAAGTGTTGATTTAGCACATAGTCTGTTTTAAGGCTAATGCTTGTTAAAGGATCATTTCTTGTTGGTTTTGGTCTTTTTTTTTTATGGTAAGTAGAAAATCACCAGATCTATCCACATCCACACGGTCAAGTGTTTTGTAAATGTCATTGACAGTAAATGAATAAAAAAGTTGACTTACATTGTCCTCCTGGCACAAACTTGATTCCCGCCCACCAGTTGAACATCAGGGGTCCGTGGTGGAATGTGTGGAGGAACGTCAGCTGCCGGTTCTTCTTCCTCAGGATGAAGAAGAGCTGCTCAAAGATGGAGAATGAGAGTCATTTCAATTCTTGATTTGACTTATGATACAATACAAAATATGTGATTTAAATACGCACCGTGTCACTGAGCTCTATGACCTTTGAGAAGAAGAACCACCAGCAGGCCTTGGCCATCTGGAGGAAGGAAACAACAGAAATAGGTGAGTTTAACTCACTATTCACACTGTAGGATTATCTTACTATAAATGACGTTCTACGTGTAGATTGTGAAAGATTAAACGTGTGCGTACACATTAAAACGAGTGAATGTGTGTATGGAGACACTTCCTTACCCTCACTGCCAGTGGGCTGTTGCTGTAATCTACCGGCTGACAGAGGTAGCTGTAGTTCGAGAGCCAGGATGTGACCAGGAACTGGGAAATATTCATAACATTAAATGACATTTAACACCAGAGATCACCAGATATATTATATAACAGACATTTCCACTATTTCCATGAGTGACCTGGTTTATCCATATATCCATACAATAACTTCACATTAAACACTAGCAAGATCACCATTTATATCAAAGAACAGACATTTATTTTCCATGATCTCTTTCCTCATGAGTGACCTGGTTTATTTTCTAAAACGGTACACAAAGCGGGTCAAACGCACCTCATAGAACATGTATCCTGACAGGCCGACCATGGAGAAGTTGTAGACGATGAGGACGCCTTTGAGGTCGAGGGGCTCTCTGTGTTTCATCAGACGAGGTCCGGCCCACACCACACACAGGTACAGCAGGAAGATGATGGCCACGGGGACCGGGGAGTAGACCAGCAGCCACGCATCCGTACGCTTATCTGGAACAAGGTAAATGGGCGTCCATTTTTACAGTGCTTTTACAGTCTTTACAACCCCGCTAATCACTTTTCCTTAAACAACTCACCCATTCATTCAGAGGCAGAGGCTGCTCTACAAGATACCACCTGCTCAGGTAGACTAGTTTTCACACATATTGACCACTATTTCAAATACACATATCACAGGATACACCTCTAGCAAGAGATACAGAACTATTATTGAGGTTTCAGGAGCTGCCTTATAAATTTGACCAAATTCCAATACTGATTCTTACGTGATCTGCACAGGAAGTGTGTCTTTCTCAACTCAGGTGACCAGTTGTGTGTATGGTCATGTTAACCAAGTCAAAATATCATGATATACAATACTACTGGACACATGTCTGATTATAGTTACAAGTTGTGAGAGCTGCATAGATTTATTTTAGTTTCTACAGGAAATGACAATTCTTCTTCCAGGTCAGCTCCAGGTGACCCCTGTGTGTGTGTGTGTGTGTGTGTGTGTGTGTGTGTGTGTGTGTGTGTGTGTGTGTG